CCTGCTGCAGGGTGATGATATAGTATTAATGACTCAGCTATCCTAGACCAAGCTAAATCCAAAAAATGCTAGAGAATTCCTGGAAGCATACAGAATGTTACAATACATTTTCATAATACACCACTGAGTAACTTCTTGAGAGAGGTCAGCCATTTAAATTTGATAAATGAATAAAACATAAATAAATAAAAGCTTGGCATTCAAACTAATCACCCATCAATAGACACAGACATCACTCAATATTACACAGATAGCCCTGGAGGGGTTAACTTCAGGGAAACAATCAAGCAGAAAACAATAATCAAGAGACTACTAAGGAGGAAACCACATCCCTATCAACAGTAGCCAGGGTAAGTTATTGTATATAAACCAGGAACAAACCCCACACTCACAACATTGATGATGTTACCTAGTAACATCTGTAAATGTAAAATGTCTGTAGGCAAACAACCAAGCTCAGAGAACACCAAGGACTCCAAAGTTCAACCCTGAGATAATATATTCTACTCTTTGGACACTCTATTGTGTGTATGCCTTCAAGTCAGGTTTTTTGAGTACCAGCCACTGCCTGGACTATTCTTTATAATTATTTTGGCAGTGTTTTCAGTAGTGGTTTGCCATTGCCTCCTTCCTAGGGCTGAAAGAGACTGGCCAAAGGTGAATGGCTTCATGCCTAAGGCAGGACCAGAACTCACCATTTCCCTGTTTCTAGCCAAATGCCTTAACCACCACACCAAGCTGGCTCTCTAAAGAACTATCACACACACCCCTGCCAAGTATACCGTCTGTACTTATAAAAAATGGCACTAGGAGTGAAAGGCAAGTCCCAATTCTAGAAACCCAACCATCCCTGCATATAGAAAGTAAATATTTAACATCACTGAGCACAGTTCCTTAATCAAGATTCTTTATCCTTTGGCACATTCACTGCCTCACTTCTCTGACCAGCCTTTTTAGTATCTGTATTGGGGAATACAGATATCCTAACAGTCCATCCCTCAACCTAGACTTTATGTATAAGCTCCAAATCTGATACACTGCTTTTTCTTATTTTCTTTCATTTTCCAAAAATGTAGAAACAGCAATCTTAATTTCTGCTAACACATATTTTAGAAAAGTTCAAAGAGGAATTCAGTTTCAATTCACAGTAAATCTATCTTCTTTTGAAATAGATAATTTAAACATAATATCCTTACTGGAATTTTGATGAGCCAAAATGAAACTTCTACCATAACAAGTACACATTCAACTGAAAACCAAAAATATCATTCTAACTATGCCAGAGCTAAACTTTGCTAAGCTTATAGTTAGCTTTGCAAGGCTGAAATTATTACAATTTTATTCAAAAGGCAGAAAGATTTTAAATGGAAATGATAGCTGAACGCATCTGAAAGACATACTGAGATGGTATACTAGAAGTTTCCTTTTTTGACTGCAGCTTACCAGGGATACAGTTTGTGGTCTTTTTTAAACTTGCCACTTGCAAAATAATCATAGCTATTTAGCAAGCATGATTGCCATGAGTGTTCTGGAATTAGAATCAATAGGATTTACTGAGCCATTTATTTATAGTTACCCAGTATCAAAACGTTCGGGGCAACTCATAAAGTATAAAACAAGGAATTGTGCTCCTGAAAAGTTCACTTGGATGAAAGACAGTAGGTTGATTATTACAGATTGTCAACTAAAAATTTAAAAAGTCAAATCAGTACCTATTTAACCAGTGGCACCTGAAGTGAAGAAAAGATGTGTGCATTTATAGCTAAATATACAGTAGGTATAGGTATATGGTTACAGATAGTTTGGATCACACAGTCATAGCTGCCATCTTTTTTCAACCTCTCCTTGCAGACGCTGTTAACTATAAGCAATACTATACACGTCTTGGACCATAAGAAAGGCTGAGCGCCAAAGAAATGAGGCCTTTGAACTATGGTGCTGGAAAAGATTCCTGCGAGTCCCTTGGACTCGGTCAGTCCTAGAGGAGATCAACCCTGACTGCTCTTTAGAAGGCCAGATCCTGAAGATCCTGAAGATGAAACTGAAATACTTCAGATCCTGAAGATGAAACTGAAATACTTTGGCCACCTAATGAGGAGGAAGGACTCACTGGAGAAGAACCTAATGCTGGGAAAGATTGAGGGCAAAAGAAGAAGGGGACAGCAGAGAACGAGGTGGCTGGCTGAAGCAGTAGGCATTACCTTAAATGGACTCCTGAGGATGGTAGAGGACAGGAAGGCCTGGAGGAACGTTGTCCATGGGGTCACGATGGGTCAGACACGACTTTGCAACTAACAACAACAACCACAACAATACACAGGTCACCACAGAGAGATGATCTCTAGCCAGGCTGCACAATATGCCCCCAAACAGGCTTGTGTGGCTTGCCAGCAGTTTTTTTTGTTTTTGTTTTTTTAAATAAACCACTGACTATGAATGTCACCACCAGGAGAATGTGTTGCCTCCAACTAGATTTTTGCAGACACTTTGACCCAAAAAGCACACTGTCAAGCAGCTCTAAAACCTCCAAGTCTTATTGACACCGATAGCTAGGCAGTGCTAACAGCTTTTCCGAAATATAGGTAGTCCTCAAGTTATGACCACAATTGAGCCCAAACTTTATGTTGCTAAGTAAAAAATGCGTTAAGTGACCTTTGCCCCATTTTATGACTTTTCTCATCACATTCGCTAAGTGAATCATTGCAGTTCCTAATACAGCTGTTAAGTGAACCCGGTTTTCCCATTGATTTTGCTTGTCAGAAAGTTGCAAGGGGATCACATAACTTTGGGATACTGCAATAAATATGAGCCAAGTATCTGAATGTAAATCATGTGACCATGGGGATGCTGCAATGGTCATAAGTGTGAAAAATTATCATAAGTCACTTTTTTCAGTGTCGTTGTAACTTTGAACAATCAATCAACTGTTATAAGTCAAGGACTACCTGTAGAAACAGAAAAGGCTCACAAATACCTTAATGACTCTGATGCTACGCTGGAAAAAAAACTATACTTCAAAGTATGGAACAGAAAGGAGGAAAACCTACCATATGTGCATTATCTTCTTACCTCATACAGAGAAGGTTCTGGAAAAGACAAATATAATATGCAGCCTCAATGTAAGGTAAAATCCAGAGCAAATTAAGGTTTTCCATTTCCTGTTAGACATGAAAATAATGCCTGTGTGTAAAGCTGGCTTTGTTCAGCCTGGCATCAGATTCATAGAATTAAGACCATCAACCATGTCAGCGAGACAAAAATAAATGATGAAAATGGAATGTTTCCAAGCAGAGTGCCTCAATGTAATGTAATGCATGATACCATTTCATACTTCCATTCTAAATAATAAAAATTAAACTTCAGCTGATCTAAAGATTTTTCCAAAGTGCTTTCGTTGGAGCAGAATGATTTTATTTCTCAAATATCAGGAATACATTTATTTTGTTTTCCATAGTTAGCCTGAACAAAACAGAGAAGAATGCAATTGATCAGTTTTATGAGCAGGTCTCTTCATATCGATCCTTATCAAAACAAAGTAAAGGGCTCAATAAAATTCTAGCTAATAGACAACCATACGAAACATGCTTAATTTTGCAATCTGGGTAGAACCAGCTGAATTTCATCACTGACACGCACCCCAAATCATGCAAGAATGGGGCGTGTTTTTGAGAACAGTTTGCTTTGGCGGTTGTAAATGTTGGTGTGTTACTCAAAATGTTGTGACATGTCACCTTTGATACGTGTATCATAAGTTTGCCATCACTGTCTTAAAATGACTAATCACTGTTTTGTCATCTAGTCATTTATGCAAACGTTGGGAGATAATGAGATAAAATTGAAATCCTATTGTTTATTTTGTGCAGACATCAAAACTAGTTCAGAATCAAGAATATCATAAAAATAATCCACCCTCCTTTTCTCATCAGTAGCATTTCGGAACTGTTGTTCTAAAGAGTTGCATACAAGGTTTTGAAATAATGTATTCAGACTCCAACAGGTAATCACTAGTATCCAAATAGAAAAAGAAAAATAACTGAGATTAATTAGGTACATATTTGTTCCTGTAATTTCAGAATCAACAGAGTCTACTTTCTTAAAAAAACGAAAACACAATATGTGGAAACATTATTATAAAGGGAGACCTGCTGCTTGCTTTTTTTTCATAACATCGCTAAAGTATTTTAATTGGGAAGAGACAGGAATGAATCAATATTTTTAATACACAGAAACTATGTAATAACCAAAGTGTCAAATAGTCAATCTCAACAGGGGCTGGACCTCTGAATACTATACAATACCAGACAACTGGATTAAACTGCCTCTGATCTATTTCTTGAACATCTTTGCAATTTTAACTGATAATTGTGGGCAGAGTCTTTTATTACTATAGTCTACAAGAATACTAAGGATAAGCACTTTTGAAATAAGGCCTTCAAATTTACATGGCAAAGCCAAAATAATTGTGTTGTCCTAAAATCCCTCATGCATAAATGAAAAAGGGAAAATGGATAACTTAAAATTAAATAAAACAAAAACCATGCCTTGCAAAAAGGATAGAATCAGGACAGAATAAAAATGAAATTTACATTAACTGAATTAATAATGATTAATTCACAATAAAAGAACCAGTTTAATGTAATGGTTAAGGCACTATGGTAGAAATGTATGTTCTGCCCATAGGCATGAAGCCAGCTAGGTGATTTTGGGCCAGTCACTGTCTCAAAGCCCAAAAAGAAGGCAATGGGCAAACAAATTTTCTTGCCAAGAAAACTGCAATATCTAGTTCAGGAAGTTGTCAGGAGTCAACATTAAACCAAATGCAAATAATGACAATAACAACAACATCACCTTTAATGCCTATAAAAGCACATATGACATTTCTCTTACTCTTGCACACACAGATGACTTTCATACATATAACACATAGACACACACTTTCTCCACTCTCTTCAGACTACCAGAGAACAGAGTGTACTATTGTATGGTATAGCTCTGGTTACCTGTCCTTCAAATTTTGCTGTGCCTCCAATTGGCACCTGGATATTTCGTGGAGGTAGAATAAATGCTGGTGCTTCTGTTGCAGTGGGAGTTCTTAGAGAAGAGTGGTTCAAAGTCAAGGTGGCTTTGGAGATCTGAGTCGATACCAGTTTGACATCCCCCATGTTAAGTCCTTCAGAAACATTTAAAAAATATGCTTTAAAAAAAAGAACAAATATAAGCTTAACAAGCACTATTAGAAGGACAATCCAGTCACTTAAATCTGCAAACTATTCTAGATGTAGTTAAAAGTGTACCTCTGAATGCGATGAGACATTCTTCACAGAAGACACCCATGAGCATATAATATTTACAAATAAAGTTCCATTTATTTAAGTGGGAACTGAAATCACTAAATTATGACTAGACAAAGCTAAATAGTAAAATACAGGCAGTCCTTGAGATATGACCATAATGGAGCCTACCCATTACATTTTCATGTTTCGATAATCATTAGGTGGCACATTTCATCTAATAAACCCTCACCTCTGCTTGCCCAAATGAATTATTAAATTAATGCTTGGGTCATTAAGGGGAGTTCAGGGTACTTCAGGGGTGGAGGAGGCCCTTGGAGGCCTAGCACAGGCCAACACCCGCCTGCCCTTCTAAGGCTGCCCCCCAGAACTCCAAGATATCCTGTGCTCCACTTCCCGCCCTTTGGCGTCCACTCCCACTGGGTCTCTCCAGCCTTAGGCCTGATTCTCATTCTACCAGGCCAAACAACCTCCCCCTCATTTACTTTTTGAAGGGCTCCGAGCCTTCCAGAATGCTGGAATGAATTGTTTTTCTGTGTAGCTGCATGGTGCAGTTCCAGAAGCAGCCACCATTTTGTCCTACCCACAGATGATGGAGCCATTCAGGTTTCCACTGCATGGCCAGGGGACAAAATACTTCATTTTGCTGCCTTAGCAAGGTCTGCATGGTATTGCAAAAGCTTTTTCAGCATTGTACGGACTGTGTTAAGTCAGCATAATGAAGCAGTTTGTCTGGTAGTTGCTGTTTTGTCTCCGCTCACAAGTGAGGGGGAGAAAATGGCAGCCATGTTCGCACCATCACCACAGAGCCAGGGGAAAAACTGGAATCTTTCTTTTCTCCCTGTTGCACACAAAATTAGCAGTATCTAAAGTCCAACCACAACTGCACATGTATTAGCTTCACATTAGTTGAATTTTTGGTTGCATTACACACAAAATGCTATCAATTTACAATTTGCACTAAATTGAATATTGCATTATTTGAACTTTCATTAACACTTTCATAAAGTACTGTTTAATAGCGACTTTTTTATTTAAGAAATTATTCCTTTTTAATTCTCTGATAAATTAAATCTGGATTATATTAATGGGTCAAATAATGGGACTATCTTGTGAAACTGGGCAATCCATGTTCATTTTACAAACTGGGAAGTGGCTTCCATTAGTCACCACATATGAAACAAATTCGCCTGTCAAATCATGGAATCAGAAGACTGGCTTTTTGTGTGATTAATGTTACCTTCTATATCTACCTGAATTAATGATACCTTTATACAGTTACACTGCTACAAGTCTTCAGGCTTTTCTCCATACTACTGACATATAGGAACATTAAGATTCTGAAGCTAAAGGTATTTATGCTAAGCTATTACATCGGAGATATTAGGAGGAGGACAAACATATTTAAAGCTGGATGTTAAAAAATTGAAGAGAACATCTGGCTTAGAGCCTATTGGCAAGGATGAAAAGGGCGCCAGGATTCATTTTCCAGTTTTCCACGACCCCACTGCATTCTAAGTAAGAGATTGCTTCCTTCCACTCATCTTACCATTAATTAAAAACAATTACAGCACAAAAGCAATGTGCATGCCTAAACAAGATACATCATCTATGAAGCTGTAATGCAGTAATAAATCCATAATGTCTTAAGACCCTGAACGGACAAAATATCTTAAAGGATGACATACCTCAATCCAATAATGCATTGCATTACGATGGGTGGAAATACAAATACTCAATAATGTTACAAGTAAGGGGATGAGAGTGAAATACTGAAGGAAACATGCCACATTAAGTTTTCCTGAAGTTCTGCCAACTCTAAGAAGTCTATTATACCATTACCCTCCAGCTCAAAACAATCACTAGTATTGCAAGGGTAATTAGTCATAAATGAAACAAGAAATAATTAAGACAAACTAATGGATTCAAGTCATTTATTCCAAAGCAGGTTTTATTCCAATACTTCATAAGAGGCCCAAAAGTTTGCAATTTTTTGTCAAGAACACAACATACGGATAGATATACTTACTAGCATAGGTAAAGTGGGATGTTATGTTAGCAGCCCTCTGAATACTACTCCTGAGTTTCCTCACCTTTTGGTTTAGAAAAAGCAGCTGTGGATAACCTCATTGAATGTGGAACTCCATCATTGGAGAAAGAATAGACAAGCTCTCTGAGTCATTTTTTCCCTACTGAAAATGAATTTCTCAAAATAATATATTACTTAGGTATCAAAATGGTTTAAACTGATATTCTTGGGGCTTCATCACTTCCTTCCTCTCCCTGTTCAGTCTTCTTTCTCTTCTGAATTTGGCCTGAGCATTCAGGTATTTACCTGATGAGATTCACTTTCTTTCCAAGACAGGGAAGGCATACTTGTAGGCTCTTAGCAATGAGCAGACATTGTTAAGGCATTTAATTCATGCTTTGCCAGCATCAAGTTGTTTCCTAAATAAGTCTTGTCTTTATTCCTCTGTCAAACAAATACCAACCTCAAAACTATTTTCTTATTTTAAAAAATTATAATACTCCTGATTTCTGTGTTTCTCTCTCTTTCCCTGTATACTACTACCTGGCATGCAAAACAAATAAAAAATACTACTACTGCACTCTCATTGGGATTCTATTCCAGACTGTTGAAAATGACTTTCCCAGAGAATCCTCTTCTGTTTTGTCCCTCCGATTCAGGACCAGAAGTTTCCATCTGTACAGGTAGCCCTCGTTCAGCAATCATTCATTCAGCCACCATTTGAAGTTACAAAAGTACTGAATGCAGGGAATTAATGACCATTTCTTGTAGTTGTCTATGGAGATTCTCAGTCATCCAGGTCATGGTTGTCCCAAAGGTGCTTTTTCAAGAGGCACCTGGATTTTCTTCAGCTGAAGAAGCTTCTTGGATGAGAAATGAAAAGTCTTCAAAGAAAAACCAGAAAGTCCGGTTGCCTCTTGAAAAATCACCTTTGGGATTTTTTGTAGTTATAGCCATTGCAGTATTCTTATGGCAACATTTATTGAAAAGTCAATAAATCCACTGTCACAAAAAGTTATCATCGCCATTGTTGGTACTACACCAAAAGATGCAATGCCACACACACCACTGTTGCTTCTAGTCTTCCTCAACACTGTTTTGGTATCAGGTTTATCTGGAAAAACAGTACTTAATCCAGATTTCACCTTAATTAATTCACTGGTAAAGGTGGGAATTTTGCTTATTCAGTTTTGAAGATTCTGTAGCTTAATTCCAAGTTTCTTGATATTAAGTCTAAAGAAAATCCATGTGCGAGATGACTTTCTGGACATGCTTTGCCCGCAGGGTTGAAGTTAACCTTGGAAACTTGGTGTTCCCCTTTATTAAAGGTTACCTAATTTTATGATCTAGACCTAGACTATGCCAACTGTCCCATGGGGAACTCCACTGACAGTCGAACAGATTACCGATATCTTATTTCAACACTAGCAACAAGTAAATATTACTAACTTATGTAATGATGTATTCAGATGTTACAGAAAATGGATCAAGTCCTCCGTTCCTGCTCCTCCAACCGTGTTTTATTCTCTTGGATTTCTACTAGAAAGTTTAGTGGAACTCAATATTTTTTCAAGGTTTTCATCCCCCAATGTAAGATATATGATGTCCAGCAGGCAGCTGAATTTTCCATGGATGTTTTTTTTGTCCATTTTTTAAAAAGATTTTATTAAAGGTCTTGCAAAGAACATAAAACCTAACACAAATTAATAAGGAATAAAAAAGGAAGGAAGGAAGGAAGGAAGGAAGGAAGGAAGGAAGGAAGGAAGGAAGGAAGGAAGGAAGGAAGGAAGGAAGGAAGGAAGGAGAAAAAATAAAAAAAAGAACCAAAAGACAGAGGGGGGAAAAAAGCTTCCAATTTCTTCTGCAGCAAGTAGAAGTACAATATTAGGTCTTACTCTGTGTTTAGAAATTTTCCATGGCTCATATTGAAGTGGCTTTGTTTCTTGGATTTTTGACACATGAAGGTGTCTAGTGGGCCATTCAAATCACAGGCAACAATGATCCCATAATGGACAACTGTGGCAATAATATTTGGAAATGTGTCTGGCTGTCTTGATGTTAGCAATGACACTTTTAGGAGCCTAGACCTAAGTCACATTAAGTTTGCATCACGGTTATTGTATCCTACAATACAATTTATGATTGTATAAAAACCACATGCTATCCATAGCAGTCAGTGGTGGGTTGCTACTGGTTCTCCCCGGTTCTTGCGAACCGATAATGGAAATTTTGAGTAGTTCAGAAAACCGGTAAATACCACCTCTGCCTGGCCCTGCCTCCAATCTATTCGCTGCCTCCCAAGTCCCAGCTGATCGGCTAGAAGGAAAAAAATCATGGCTCACTTGACAAAGAAGAGAGAAAAAAAAAACCCAAGAACTTTAGCTTTATATTGAGAAGCCGAGAAGCCTCTCAACTGATGGGCTAGAACCGATCTGCTCCTTGTAAACCGCTCGGTGGTGGTAGATTGGCAATTGAGGCAAAGCTGCCTGAAAGTGGTTTCCGATGCTCTCGGTGGTGGCAGAATGGCAAAAAACTGTTTAAACTCTTCCCAGTCGCTTCAAAGGACCACCCTACAGCTGATCAGCAGTAAAAGGCAGTGTGGTGGTAGACAGTGTGCTCCAAAAACAAATGGGTAGACTAGTGCGCTCCAAAAACAAATGGGTAGACCGGTATGGCTCTGCAAGCAGTTAAAAGCCTAGTAGACCAGTACCTCTGCTAAATCTTAAAGAATTGTTTGTCACATGACCATCAAATCACGCTCACAAAATAAGCCACGCCCACAGAACTGGTAGTAAAAATTTTTAGAACCCACCGCTGATAGCAGTTACTTCAATCCAGTGGTGAAATTCA